GTTTTCATTTTTATTTCTCTTTCCGTTTTATCTTAAATACCTTTTCATTGATTTCAATTTATGATGAATATTTAATGTGTTAATGTTTAATTTTTCTATTTTTAATTTAACATGAATATTTATTAATTTATGGTAAATCCGAATATGATTTAACTTCAATTCTTTGTAATTAAATTTTCAATAGTTTTGCTTATCTCCTGCACTTTTGTAATCCACTACAGGTTGCTTGCAATAGATATCATTGGAAATTGTGTTTGGTCTGGTTTGACCGTGGCAAAAAGAACTAAAGTAGTAAAAAAAACATGATATTCAATTGAAAATGCTTTTGATTCTAAATGAAATTTTGTATGCACACTTTAAGAATTCTAATATTCATTACACATAATCTTGATACTCAATAGTAGAAAACAATATACTCGATGAGAATGTTTTTATACTCAAATGGGACTTTTAAATTATGTGTATTCAATTGCAATATTGTACTCTATGGAGGGCGTTTGATGCTCAATGAGCAATATTGTACTTTTAGTGAACATCTGGTCTATTTTATTGAGTATTAGGATGCTAACAATGAGTATCACGATCTCTGCTTCATATCTTCTAATCTTTTTTTTCTTTTATAAAAACTTATTAAATTATATCTACAATCCACTCTTATTAATTTCAATATGCGAGTGTAATGTAATATGATACTTTTAAAATATGCATTTATATGACATTGTAAAAATGAGCATAACATCAGTACCAAATGAGCATACATAACATACAAAGTGCACATTGATAAGAAAATCGTAAGATTTGTAAGTTGAACATCATGACATTTTAATTGACCACCAACCTCCACTATTGAGATGAAAATCACGACTTCTGAAGAATGAGTAATATTGAACTTTTAATGAGCATCAATCCTATTATATTGTGTATTAGGAGTCCAATATTCAGAATCGTGATCTCTGTTTCATAACTTTTAATTCACTTTCTTTTTGTTATTTTTCTTTTATAAAAATTAATTACATTATATTTATAATCAACTCCAATGAATTTTGATATGTGAATCTAATGTAGAATAGTACTTTTAAAAATGCATTGATATGACATTTACAAAATGAGCATAAGATCAACACCAGATGAGCATACATAACTTACAAAATGAGTATTAATGAATTTGTTAGTTGCTTTGTTAGTTGAACATCACGACATTTTAATTGAGCATTAATAAACTTTTAATGTGCATTAATGAACTTTTAATGAGCATCAGACCTATTATGTTGAGTATTAGAAGTTTAATAATCAGAATCGTGATATCTGCTTCATAACTTCTAAGTCATTTTTTTTAATTATTTTTTGGTTTATAAAAAACTTAATAAGTAACTTAAGTAACGTCAATATCAAATGAACATAAGTAACTTACAATATGAGTATTGCACCAAGATAAAATGAGCATACATACTTACAAAACGAGTATCGAAAAAATTCAAAAAACTCACTTAAAATCTCCAGTATGCTCAAATAGTAAATGAGAATGCATAACCTATGAAATAAGCATCGAAAAAACTAAAATGAGCATTACACCAATATGCATGAGTATGACATTTTGAAATGTATGATGTAATACTCATTTTAAAATGAGTATTATACCAATATCAAATGAGTATAGATAACTTACGAAATGAGTATGTAAATGATATTTTAAAATTAGCATAAAACCAATATCATATGAGTATATGTAACTTACAAAATGAGTTATATAAAATCAAAACATTAATTCATAAAATATTTTATAATTGAATAACATTAAAGTAAAAAAAAACGAAAGTGAAAAGAGAGAAGGAAACAAGTTAAAGCAGGAAAGGAAGAAAAGAAAAAACAAAACAAAAAAACGTAAGCAGAACAAAGCAAACATCGAAGCAGAACTCTTCGTCGAAGCAGGCCAAACATCGGCACCTCCTCCGTCGATTCCCAGGACATCAGCGCGCACAGCAAACGGAACTCTTCGGCGGCTTCTTCATCCCTAACCTTTATCATCTGAGTTGTAATTAATTTCAAAAATACCCGGTTGTACGGTGAGAACCGTACAACCGGGTGTACGGTATATTTTGCGGTAGACCAGAGATGCTCCTTCCGGACTGCACCACCACTGCCCCGGCCTCATATTTTCTTACTCCTCTCCACCAGTGTAGGCCGGAAAAACACCGACTTCAACGCCGGCCACAAACCTACCAACCAGAAGGTAATTAAGGATACAACGGAGCTGATTTCCATCAGTAAGTATGCGGTTATGAGAGTTTCAGCCCTATAAAATCTAGATTCAAGGGACAATTCGGTCGATTCTGAGCTTTTCTGGCGGTGGTGAATGTCGACCGATGTGACCGCGTGAGATTAATTATCCACCGTCTTCTTCGGTAGAATTTATTATCCACTGTCTTGCCTTCTATATATTCCGTATTTAATTTCCACGATGTTGCTTGTGTTCCTCTGTAACCAACGTGTTCTTCTTCCAGCCTTAGGCTTTGGCTTTCCTTCCTTGAAGAAGGAAGATCGTTCTCATAAGGTTAATTTAGATATTTGATATATTTTTATTTACTTTTTTTTTTTGAAAATCAATAACTGAATTATTATTAATAAGGGTAACCAGAAACATAAGAATCAAAAGCCGAACCATTACAATCACAGTGTTCAATGCTACACTAGGGACCTAGGGTGAGACAAGAAACAAAAAAGTCATATAAAAGCTATCATGTTCGCTAACCCTGCAACTATGTAGACTTGTCCCGCAATTTGACTCCTCGTGCTACTCTAAATAGGTCCGGTTTGACCAGCCACCGAAAAGGATTAGTTAAACTTGCCGGTTTTTCCAGTCACCGGTAAGGAGCCAAGTGCAGAAATTGTTCCAGTTTCACCAGCCACCGGAAAGAAAGCAATACATTCACTTCCATCTTCCTTATTCGTCAATGGTTCAGGAGGAGGGCGATCGGCCTCTATATTGATACATAAGAAATCCCTTAAGTGGCTGTGAATAACAATTTAGGGACTGTGAATAGAATTTCCCTTCTTCTTTTTTGAAGTAACGATTTTATTAGATAAGCAAATCTTTAGTCATAAGGCTTACAATAATGAAGGGGCACCCAACCAAACTCTACGATCAGACAAAGAAACGGCAACTCTAGTTAGCTTATGAACTACACGATTCGCTGATTGTTTAACATGTGAGATATTAATATTCGCATTCGACGCGATCATGACTCTGATATCATCCAAAATAAGATCAAAATAAGAGTTTCCAGGTTCTTCAGATAAACTGGAAACCACTTGAAGCGCATCTGTTTCTAGTTTCTACTACAATTTTCTCCCATTCTTGTGATTTTAATTGTATCAAAGCCTCCCGAACCGCTAATGCCTCTACTCTTTAACCGAGCAACTTCCAGGCCATGGGTGTGAAGCAGATGCTAAGAAATGACCTGCTGCATTCCTAGCTATCCATCCAAAGCCCCTTTGTCCACTCATATTGCAAATTGTTGCGTCGGTATTCAATCTAATCCATCTAGGGTTGGATTCGGGCCTGGACGGGCCCGGGTCGGGTCCGGGCCGGGCCAGACCTTTATATATATATTGCTTTTTCTAATTAACCCCCACCCCCAAACCAGCCCAAAATACCCAGTCCAACCCAGAAAGTTAAAAAAAATAGAAGTAAGCCCGAACCGGGGCCGGTTCCTTTTTCACCATACCCGTACCCGGACCGCTACCCTCCCTATACCGGGCCAATGACCCGAAACCGGTACCCGGTTTCCGGTCCGGGCCGGTTCCCGGACCGGTGGTCCGAACCGGGTCCATCACTAAATCCATCCCAAATCCGGCCGTATCCAACGTTCAGCCCCAACTTGTTTGTTAATACTTCCTGTGAGCACTGGTCGCTGAGCAACCCGCCAACCAGCAAGCATAGCTTCACCATGAATAAATATACCTTTAATTCTTAGTTATGCAGATGTTTTAATTCTTTTGATAAGGAGGTGTTTGGATTTGCTTTTTAAAACTACTTTTGTATTTAAATGTTCATGTATTTAAATTTTAAAGTTTAAACTATTCTCAATTATAATTTTTAAAATTGTTAATACTTTTAGAGCCTGTTTGGAAGAATAAAAATCGGCGGATTTGGCTGATTCTGCTGAAATTTATGAAGTTCTGACTGAAGTGGCTGCATTGGCTGGTTAAAAAAAATAAAATATATTTTAGTAATTAAAAAAATATGTAAAAATAGCTGGAATGGTCATCTGCGGAAAAGTAACTCCAACCTTACTTATTTTGCTTATTACACAATTCAACGAGCGAAAGCAAAAATTACGTGTTTGGCGAAAGTTGGCTGATAAACCTAATAAGCCAAAAAATAACGTTGCCAAATGGGCTCTTAGTCAATGTAGTGTTTGAAATAAATATACATTTCATTTTTTAATGTGTTTAGTTTTATACACGTATACGTATTAAAATAGATCCCTGAATCGGCCCGGGACCGAAGCAGGACCAGCCGGGTAGACCAGACCAAGACCGTGACCCGTAAGCATCCGAGTTAGTTCCGGTCTTAGTAAATGGGACCTGGTACTGGGCAGTTTGGGGCTGAGACTAAGACCCGGACTGGATTGGGGTCCACCCATAGTTACAAAATCCAAATTCCAAATGCAAGAATGAAACACGCATCCACCCTCACTTCACTGTGTTGTATTATTTCGCAAAAAAAATATGCATTTTTGTGTATTGATATTTGGATTTCCAAGTCTGTTATCGGGGCAAGATATTTTCTGAAATCGTCTCGATTACAAAATCTAAAGCCAAAAATCACTTAAAAAACAGCTACAATACCATTATTGTAGGCTTGTAGCGCTGCTACAGTACTAAAATCTCTTACTTTTAAGTTTTAAGTTTTAATAAAGTGTAATTATCTTAAATTACGTGCAAAAGCAAATGGACAGATAAAGCGATACAGAGGGAGTATAAAAATTTAGGACATTACTCCTCCCGATCAATAGAGTATTACTCTACGTATATTATAATACAAATGAAATGAAAAACCTGAACATGAAGATTTCATGCCGAAGGTATCACACATTCACACACACAAAATGTTACAAATGAATGACTGTTACAATTGAAATGTAGTTATTTTGAAAGAACATTGAAGTTCGAATTACAGAGCCAAATAAATGCATAAGAGAATAAAAGAGTAAACAAGCTCAAAGAATGAAGAGATTATAAACTGCCGTTTTTTTTAGAAAACTGTTTTGAGCTCCAGGAAAGCTTTGAAGCATGGCAGGAGTACCCCCAGGCGCATTTTCAAAACTCACCCGGCAATCCACTTCCAAACACCCCCTGGCCTCTGACCCTGGGCAACTCCCAGTTCCATATCACGTTCCATTTCAGATTTCTGCCTCCGAAGTTCTTCAACCTCTTCCTCTACTGACTGCATGGACTCTAGTACCTTCCGTATCTCAGTTATTTGTGCCTAAAAAATGGAGAGAAGCAAGTTTAAGTGTGAACCAGTTAAGAAAGCAAACGGGTGGAAGGGTATAACCTCCAACTCCGCACATCTTGATCGCTCCGCTGTAAACTGACTCTGAACTGAATGTAATTCCTGAAGTAGTCAATTTAGATTCACTGTTAGGAATTGTACATTGAGAGATTCAAGATTGATAAATGTGCTAATGACCCAGTTAAGATAGATATCAATCTTTTACAATGGTTTGGCCTACATGCATTTAAAAAAGAGTGATCTTGATCCAGTGATGAATTCAATCATGGTATCAAAGTCATTTTGTTCCACTTCATTTATTGGGGTTAGCAGTCCTTGTTTTGGGGTTTCACCAATTGAGTGGGAGGCCAAGCACTTTTTTGCACATGAATGCTGACGTGATCATGATGTAGTTTCAATTTGCAGTGATGATGATGGTACTTGCACAGTGACTGTAGTGACTCTAGTCATATTTGTCTATTGAGCCTTTTTAGTAAATTATTATACGGAAAAAACAGTGGCCCACTAGCCCGTGTTTAGGAATTGCATCATTCTAGGAGGGATACTAAGTTTCCACGTCTCGGGAGGGGGGGGGGGGGCTAGGGACTTCGGTTAGACTAACTAATAGATTTGATTCAGTTTGACATGTATTATGGCCCAATTGAGTGTATGACACCACAATTATGAATTCCATCAAACCTGACCGAAAGCTGACCACACACGCACCATACTTATTAAAACAAAAGAATACCTTGGATAAGTCAGCATAAGTGTTATTAACTTCCTCAATCTTTGCCTTGAGAGAAAAGTTTTCCCTTGTTACTTCAGCAAGAGAGGATTCCAATCTCTCCTTCTCTTCTCTAATTGTGCCAATTTCATCAGATAAATTCTTCTGAGAGGTATTGTTTTGGATTCCCTTAAAATTTGAATCATCTCTAGCAGTGGAGTCAAACTTTTCAGGTTTGGTCAAGGCATATGCAGCAGTGACAGAAGCTGCTGCAGCAGCAGCAGCTGGTGACAAAAGTATCTTGGGATGTGATGAATCTCTTGGTTTAGGCCTCATAACATATACCTAGGTTTGAAGTTTGAGTTACCATGTTAGTCCTTAAGCTTGATACATACAAGAAATATAACTCTTACAAGTTAAAAGTATTAGTTTTTTAGTAATACTCATACGAAACTAAAACAAGTTCTTTAAGGGAATATACCGATTTCAGTTATATTTAAGTTGGGGATGCACTGATTGTATCAAAGCATTGATTGAACCAAAGCATCCACCGTGTAGCCATGGAAAGGGGTGATACGTGTCAAAAAGGTGTATAATCATATACCTATAGCATACTGACTTACAACAACAACAACAACAACAACAACACCAACACCAACACCAACACCAACACCAACAACATCCAAGCCTTATTCCCAAAAGATTTTGGAATCGGCTAACATGAATCGATCCATGACATTGGAGGCACAAAGGAAAGAAAGATAAGGAAAATAAAAAGAGAAGGTAAAATAAAAAGGATAAGATAAAGATAAGGATAAAGTGATAAACACAATAAACATAAAAGGACATAAGAAAGATAAAGGATAAAAATAACATAAGAATAAAAGGAAGATTAAAAAAGATAAAAAGATTAGAGAGAGAGAGAGAAAATAGATCAATCCTCCACACGAATTTTCGCCGTCCACTTTGCTCTCTCCAAATCCATACTTTCATCTAAAGTCATTCCAACACAATGACTTATAGAGAGAATTTTGGCCTCAGTTCCTTGTAACTTTGTCATCTTTCCTTTTTCAAGTGTCCAAAAAACTTTGTCACTTTCTCTGTTAAGCAATTAATGTGTGGTTCTTAATATTTTTTCCCTTTGCACAAACTTCAACCATACAATTTAAAAAATTACTCTATTATTCTACATGCTGATCAAACTAGACAAAGTTACAAGAGATGGAAGGTGGTAAATAACAGTAGAGCACTAAAGCCTACTCGCAACAGATAATATAAGAGCTGATAACATGTCTAAGAGACTATTAGGAAAGGTACCTCATTATTGTAATTTCCATTATAACCACCAAATGCAACCAAAAAAAATTCACCATCTAGTAATGCTGATGATACAGTTAATCCCTGTTTCAAATCTCATATTAGGCATAGGATATCGCTTCTCTGATAACTTGGGAGCAGGGGAGAGGGAAAGGAACAAGAGAAAAACAAAAAAGATGGACAGCTACCCATGCGCAGTGCTATGCATCAAGTGACAGCTTTCTTATATTACTTCGCAGAACAGAATTTTAGTTCTTAAAGAAATTGCATGCATCCTTTTTGGAACAGAGTTAGTGTTTTTTTCCTGATATTTCTCTTGGTTGGCACGATAAAGCTACAATCTGCCTAACTAAAAAGGTCATAGTCAGTGCACAAGGCTCCCATTATAAGCAAAGCTTGGAGAGGATACCGATATACAGAGCATGTCAGCCTAGCTTATAACTACTTCCTGGTCTGCCTAGCTATGTGTCCCAGAAAATCATGGGAGATAAAAATATAGAAGTAAGAAACAAGAGTGTAGCCCTTCTCACATCAACAACCTTCAAGACATTTGACGCACACAACCGGGAAGTAATAATGATAATGTATTTTGCAGGATATGCAATCATTTAATTGTAAAGGATGGTAATACATTCAACAAAGATTAGAAATTAAAGTATTAAAATAGCTAGTAATAGTTGGAATAGTGGTTTTGGTGGGGTGGGGGTTAACAGATAGTGTGACCTCACTAGCGAGTGGATCTCTCTCCTTGACAATTGTTAGCACTGCCACAACGAGCTTAGACATATTCAAAACAAGAGTTTCTGGCACACCTGCAACCCCACAAAGCTTTCATCATACACAGACACATGCCCCTTGTAAACAAGAACCCTAAAACACATAAGATCACAGTATCACACGTACCAGTTTTATTATCTCCGCCACCAACTATGTACCAGTTCTCATCAATTGTGACCCCAGCATGCCCAGCTCGTGAGCAAACTATATCCCCTTGAAGTTGTGGGCAAGACCATTCCATCTAATCAAGGATGAAAAGAGGGTATCACTTAAAATATCAGAACTTTCACTTTACAGAAATATTGATATCAATCATATCAGTAAAAAAGAAGTTGACAAGACAACATAATTGTAATAAAATTTTATAAACTTAACAAGATATTTTGTAAGGATGTTTGAACAAACATTATTACACATATTTAGCTACAAACAAAGAAGTTGACAAGGCAACATAATTGTAATAAAAGTTTAGAAATTTAGCAAGAAATTCTGTAGGGATGTTTTAACAATCGTTATTACACATATTTAGCTACAAACAACTAAGTATATTAATTTTTAGCTAAAAAACAAACAATTTAGAAAAGTAGATTGCTATAATGATTTTCAATGCTAGTTCCCTTGCTAAATTTAAAAGTTGTGAAACAAAGCTTATAAAGATGAACATCAACCCACATTTCTAGAATCTAGATATATGGACGGGTAACTCCTATAGAACTAATAATCTAAAACAAATCTGTTATGACATGGCTATCAAGTTGCAATTAAAAATCAGAAAGTGCATATCTACAAGTCTAGACTCTAGAACTTCTAGTAGTATCTTGGTACCAGGCTAAAAGACAAATTAAATTTCAAAACGTAGTTAAACAAGCATAAGTTACCGTTTCCAAGTCCAGAACATGCAGGTCATTGAAAAAAACTGAATGAGAACACCCACCAAAAATTAGAAGGTAGTGATCTGCATGCAGCGCAGCAGTGTGATCAAATCTGGGAGATGGAGGTGTCTGCCTATCAAGTTAAAAGAGTGATGAAGAATGCGTCATGATCCATACACCATAATTTGATGCCACATTGCTACTAATTTGATACTTACATGGTCTCCACAGAACTCCAAGTCTGAGTCTCAAGATCAAGAACATGAATATCATTCAATAACCGTCTGTTCCTGTCTTCTCCACCAAACATTATTAGCTTAGATCCAAAGAGTGTCACAGATTGCCCACCACGAGCTACCTGGATGTGTAACAAACAAGTTAGAAAATCAAGACAACGATTTGTCAGCAAAATACGCATCCTAAAATGATGTATCGAATTTATCTGGCACACCTTTACCCACCCAAATTATCAAATATCAAGAAAACAAGTAATATATGGTTGTGCTCTATAAGACAAACCCAAAAAAGGTCATAAGAGACTAAAATTGAATTTTCCCTAGCCATTTGTGTACCGGTGGTGTTCCGAAGGTCTCCATAATGGAACAGTCATGCGATTCCAGATCAATGATGCGAACTACAAAAAAATCAACGATAATGTGCATGGTCAAATGGTTGATCAAATAATTTTCTGCCAGGTTTGAAACCCAAGTGAGGAATGCTAACCTGTTACAGTATCGGAACCGCTTCTTGAGTGGCCAGCAAGAAGCACCAATTTTTTATTCCAGCTAATCTGTCAATAAAGTAAAGAACTAACAATTATAGTAAATAAAGTGATCACAATAAAATCACCTTTTGACTGCCCTACATGGACTGAGAAATTAGTGCATTATTAATTAACTGAGTTGAATCTCACCATAGAATGACCGGAAACACCTGGAAGAACTTCAGTGTTTGATTTTATTGTAGACCATGCCAAAGTATTGAGATCAAAAACCTGAAGATTAGACAATTTCTTATAATCTCGCATTAATGTGAATGTTAACATGCATCAGCCACAGCACTAGGATTTCGTGAATATGGATGTTTTCTTTTGGACTGTTTTCAGTCCCAGACCAGCAAATTTCAGTCCAAAAGAAAACATCCTATGTCTGAAACCTCTGTATTTTTAATAATTAGAGAAAATGTTCCATTTATTGAGGCTTTAGGGTAACTAATTTTTAATACAAAACATCATAAGTTCATAACAATACTTATATAATTATACATTATCAATAAGAATACAACTAAACAAATATGGTCAGTAATCAGGCAATTTCACTTCATGCGAAGTGTTTTTTCTCTCCCTGCGATACTAAAAATTACAATCATAACTATTATAAACAGTAAAAGGACACCAAGGGTAGTGATTAGTGAAGTGAGAATGAGGACCACGTTAACTACATGATAAAAGAAAGAATAGAAGATGATTTTAATGGTTTGTGAATTTGGTTCATGAATCTGAAATCAGGGTAAAATGTCTAGTCTAACTTAGTAAATTTGATATGAAAATGAATCAGAGTAAATATCAGGTAAATGTCTTATGTTTCAGGGGGTAATTTTAATATATCTATATATATCACCAATTGTCAATGGAGACTATAAAATTGTACCATATAAGCAAAACCAATACCTGGATGTCAGACAAATATCGGCCATTTCGCGTTCCTCCAACAACATACAATTTCCCCTCAAACACAGCGGCAGCATGCTGTTATTGGTAAATAAAGAACACCGGAATCCATAGAACAAAAATAAGAATTTAAACATTTGAAAAGGGGGAGGAAAGGTTTTATTCTGACAAGTAAAAGGTCAGTCATTATATAAGCTCGTTGGACCATGTGACTCATGTACAAATATTTAGAAATGTAAAAGACCTTGTAGCGAGCAGCTGGGCGTGGACCAGATACAGAAATAGGTTTCCATTGTTCATAGCTTAAATCCAAATGCCAACATTGACTATCAGTCCCCATATCAGCTACTTGAAAGCACACTTGCAAAGAACTTAATTATATGCTGAAGGACATACAGAATACAATAGCATTTATATTTCTTAGATAGCAGTAGTTGAAACTTGAAAACAGTACGATGTTCACTGCCAATAGAATTCAAAAAGAATGTGGGAAATGAAACCATTTTTTATCATGCCAGTCATGCATTAAGGAAAGGTGATAGTATTTCTTCATGTGGACAAGTGATGTGGGTAACTGGTAATGTAGATACATCCGAAATCGTTAATCATTAAAGTCAAAATAAATTCCTGATTTATGGCTTCAAGTGTCCACGGGAAACCCATTAGAGCTCTTTGGTGTGCAATTACTAGAACTCTAGAAGACAAGCATAATGAATGATAATGGTTCTTGAACTAAACATTAGGAGATCCATGGATGCCTAAAGGAACTTGTTTAAGATAGTATCGTTGAAATCTTAAATATCCTAAGATTTGCAAGGGGGGTATATATGTGTATGTGTCCGTGTAATACATCCATATAAAATAGATTTAATTAAACAGATCAATGTTGCATTTACATAATATATAGTGTCATGTTGTATATATTTACAGAAAAGATTACATTTTCCTTTCCAAAAAAGAAAATATAAGCGATCCTTTACAAGGGATCAATCTTTGTCAATCTGTATTATAAGCTTTTTTTTCTGAAACCCTTTATGAAAAATATTTCCAGAAAATGAATTCTTACAAGCATATATTCAAAGGATTATTTTCAATAGATATAAAGATTGTTGTGTGAGTGTACTTGCAGTGGATCGTTTTCTCTGGGTTAAACTTGCTACCCAAAGCCACCAATGACATTACTCTATTTCCAATTCCAAATTAGGCATACAACAATGATCCCCTTCTACAACGATTGTGTCTAAGGGAATCGAAAAGAAAAGGCTAGAGAAGCGTTTACCTTTCTGAATATTATAATCGTCTAAGGTATGACCATCTCCTAGCTGCCGGCCTGATCTCTCTGATGGCGATCGGAGAGAGGGAAGGGCGTTGGAGCGTTTGTTGGGGAGACAGGAGACGACTAATGGGGACACTGCGGAGACTGAAGGAAGGGTGAGGGGGTGCGGGTGGTGAGGGGTGAGGAGGTGTGGGAAAACGAGTAAAGGGTCAGTTTGCAAAAAAAAACGTCAAATAAGTCTTTTTATATAAGATTCTGTCTGGACGTGCCATTTGAGCTGGCTCCCGGTAAAATTTTGTGATAAATTTTTTTGAGCATTTTATTCATTAAGTCTAGTTTACTCATACCAAAATTCAGCTAAAAATTCAATCGGGAAGACATTCAAATGAATTCTTGAAGATAACAGCATTTTTAACGGCACAGTTATCTTCAAGAATTCATTTGAATGTCTTCCCCATTGAATTTTTATCTGAAATTTGGTATGAGTAAACTAGACTTAATGAATAAGATGCTAAAAAAAATTCATCAAAAAATTTCACCGGGAGCCACCTCAAATGGCACATCCGGACAGAATCTTCTATATAAGGACTTATTTGACCCCTTTTTTGCAACTTCGAGGACCAAACTGACCCTTATCCCATGTGAAAATAATCCATTTGTGTTAAAAACAGTTTTTTTAAAGAAAAACTGTCAAATAGGTCCTCGAACTTTCATAAAAAAGTCAATTAAGTCCTTGTATAGGAGACTCTGTCCGGTCGTCGCGATTTGGGGCAGTTCCCGGTGGAATTTTTTGATGAAATTTTTTGAGCATCTTATTCATCAAGTCTAGTTTACTCATACCAAATTTCAGCTAAAAATTTAATCGGGAGCGCATTCAAATTAATTCGAGAACGCAAAAATGCCTAGTTATCTTCAAGAATTAATTTAAATGTGTTCCCGGTTGAAATTTTAGCTGAAATTTGGTATGAGTAAACTAGACTTGGTGAATAAGATGCTCAAAAAAATTCATCAAAAAATTCCACCGGGAACTGCCCCAAATCGCGACGGCCGGGCAGAACCTCCTATAGAAGGACTTAATTGACTTTTTTATGAAAGTTCGAGGACCTATTTGACAGTTTTCCCGTTTTTTTAATGAAAAAGAATCAAATAATTGACAATGAGAGTTAGGGCATTTTAGGGATGAAAAAAATGTTGTGTAATTATCTAGCTTAATAAGGTTGTATAATATGCTTTGAGGTGTGTACTATTTTAAAAAGGAACTTAATTTTCCATTCATCCTTTCTGTTTTATATCCGTCTAATGCCTCCTCTCAATTGCATCTCTTAAATCACCGTCAACTCATCTCCCAGCTCCATACGGAGCTGCCTTCATGTGCAGTGGTTCTATTTTGATCGAGCTTCATCTCCTCGTAGATGCGAGCTGATTGCTCGAGCTATCACACACTCACCAGTCAATTGATACTATTTTAAAAAGGAACTTAATTTTCCATTCATCCTTTCTGTTTTATATCCGTCTAATGCCTCCTCTCAATTGCATCTCTTAAATCACCGTCAACTCATCTCCCAGCTCCATACGGAGCTGCCTTCATGTGCAGCGGTTCTGTTTTGATCGAGCTTCATCTCCTCGTAGATGCGAGCTGATTGCTCAAGCTATCACACACTCACCAGTCAATTGATACACTTTTTATTGTTCTGGTGCAATTCATTTCCTTGGCATGATGTTCTTGTCAGGGGCGGACCGTAGTACAGACCCAAGGGGGCTGCCGCCCCCCAACAATTTTTTTAGTGTATATATATACAAAAATTTTATTTTTACCCCCCCCCCCCCCCCCAACATTTAATACTCGTCCCTCCAAGAAAAATTTTGAACCCCCCAAAAAATATTTTCTCTTCCAAAACAAAGCCCGCTCGCAGAAACCCAATTGTTTAAGAGCCTAAAAAAATAGAAATTTTACAAGTAATATTATATCAACTCACTCCAAAATTTATTCCCCATTAACCCACCCCATAATCTAATCCCAGCCTACAGCCCAGACCAAACTAATGAAAAACATGCGCACCTAGAAGAAAGAAACGGAAAGATCGATTATTTTTAAATGATTGTCCTTAAGCCTACTATGTTCATTGCTTAGCACATCAATTGCAATTAGCATTGGTTGCTGTTTCTAGAGAGGTGAAATATGTGCACAATTTTTTCATCGATTTAGTCTTTATTATTAATGTGACTAATTCTTCTTACAAACGAAGTGATGAATTAAAGGAAGTTCAAGCACTTGAAATTGCAAGAATGGTGGAAACTGGTGAGCTTGAAACAAGCAGAGGACGTATTTAGGTTGGTACATTACAACAAGCTGAGGAAACTCGTTGGAGCTCACATTTCAGTTGTGTTTGCAGTTTGATTAGGATGTTTGCTGCAACTTGTTCTGTTTTAGAAGATGTTGAAGAGAATGACAATAACTATTCTACTCGTGGAAATGCAGCTAGAGAACTTAAGAAGATTAAATCTTTTGATTTTGTTTTCTTGTTGCATCTTATTAAAGAAATTATGGGCATTACACATCTTCTATGTCAGCATATACAGAAGAAGTGCCAAGACATAGTAAATGCTATGCATTTGGTGTCAAGCACCAAACTGTTGATCCAAAAGTTAAGGGAGGGTGGATGGGATAACTTCTTAGAAATTGTTAAAGAGTTTTGCACAAAGCATGAAATTGAAGTTCCTAATATGAAGTCTCCTTATGCGGTAAAACACAAACGCGATGATCAAGAAGGGCTTGATATTGAACGTCACTATCGGGTTGATATGTTTTACGTAGCCATAGATTCACAATTGTTGGAGCTGAATAGCAGATTCGGTGAATAGATAATGGATTTTCTTACTCTTAGTGGTGCTTTGGATCCTAAGGACTCATATAAGTCTTTTAACATTGATGATATCTGTTCTTTAGTGGATAAATATTACCCCTTTGATTTTATTGAGCAGGACAAGGTGAGCTTGAGGTTTCAATTGCAACATTATAAGCTCAATGTTCTAAACCATCCAAAGTTGGCAAATTTCTCTACAATGGGTGAACTTTGTCAAAGATTAGCGGAGACGGAGATGTCAAAAGTGTACTTTCTTAGCTTGTTGATAAATTGATCCGACTTTTGTTGACTCTACCGGTTTCGACAGCAACAACCGAAAGGACTTTTTCCGCAATGAAAATTATAAAAACAAGGCTTCACAATAAAACGGAGGATGAGTATGTTGCAGACAACCTTATTGTTTATATTGAAAGAGAAATTGCTAAAACTTTTGACTAAAAAGCCGTGATTGAGGAATTTATCTCGTTGAAGAAGTGTTGGGTACAATTCTAAGGTACTAACTTTAACTATTTTGTAATAATATATTTGTCTCTTCTTCTATTACAATGCTTCATTTAATTACTACTCCGTATTATATTAAGGTTATAACTTATAATAATAATCGCCTAGATTTTTTTATTTAAATTATCGCCCCCAATATCAATTTCCTGGTCCGCCCCTGGTTCTTGTACGACTTGGCTATTAAGTTCCTTGGTATTCTAATGTGGGAGGTGTAAGTGATGGGTTGTTTTCACAATGTCGTAAAGCAGTTACTGTCATTGTGTATTACTGATATTACGTTTCATTCCAATTAGGAAAATAATTAATCATTTGGTCGTCATTACAATTAGGTAATAAACTTCTTAAAAACGCTCCTGTGACATTCTTAAAGCAAAAGAGACTATTTCACAGCTTTTTTATTCACAAAATTTCAGTCAAGAATTTCACATTTTATGCTAATTGATTCCAGTTTATTAGGAGTTTAGTTTTCCATTTCTATAATCTTAACTTTCCTATAAGCTTTCTGTAGCTCACATATAGTGTATGTCACAGGCTGGTCCTAAATATATGCATTATCATACTAAATTATAAATATACTTTCTTTAAGACTGTATAGCACTTAACATTACCCTTTTATGTAGTATTTAAAACAGCTTTTCCCCAATGTATAACCGTATAAACGAAGATATTAGGGAGCGTTTGAGATTGATTCTACTTTAACAAAAGTGATTTTTTAAAGTGATTTTGGAAAAAATGCTTAATAGTAAAAGTTGGTAGTGTTTGGAAAAAAGTGCTTCTGAAAAAGTAGAGTGGTAGTGTTTAATAAAATAAGTGATTTTTGGAGGGGAACAAGTCTGTGAGACTGTGACATATTGCTCTCTTTTGGCAGGGTTTGGTTCATACATGAATTTTTATGAATCGAACATAATTCCTTTTGACCAAGAAGACTAATTCCAGGCTGTATTTTATTATCTTGCCAAGTTGAAACCAATGTTAGGTACTAATTTATTAGCAGTAGACTTATCTTATAATTCTGTTTATCATAGAATGATATTTTGTGGAGAATCTGCAAAGTAGCGTAATAATAAAGTTAAGATGCTTTTGAAAATGCTTTCATACATTTTTGTTAAGCATTCAATCAAGTTTCTTTGCTTTATGCATTTTTTTTCTCCAAATAGTTTAACCGGCATATAAGTTGGTCAAAACTTCTTTTTGTTTCCTTTAAAATTAGGATGTGTTCTTAGTGCAGATTTCTCGAGCCTCGTTTCCTATTGATAGGGGAACTTCAGAATATCAATTTTGCAAGATTGGGGGAAGCTCAAAGCTTCTTCCATAACAGTTATATAGCTCCCAATTTATGAGTATTCATGTGAGATTAATATTATAGTGTTGTAGTATTTGTTCTAATTTCATTTTGACAGGCTATAACATCATTAGGATCAAAGAGAGATGAATTTTAAACAGCTTTTCCCCAATGTATAATTGTATAAACATGAAAGATATTAGTTAGACTTTAAAGGGCAAGGGTTATGCCCGTATGATTACCGTTTCAGAATATGCAAATGATGATTTTTCCAGGATCGCTAATTTGCTATATAGATAAATCTTTGTTTTTGTTATGGACAAAATGTTTTATTGTTGTTCGGTTGAAACCAAGGTTAGCTATTGTTATATTCAGCATTAGTTTTCATTTCTGATTCCGTCTATTACAATAACCACATGTTTTCACTTTTTCATACAATGAATCAGTTTATATATCCATGGCAATTAGTCTGATTCTTTTAAAACAAAATTGCAAGCTATTGCTCTCTTTTGGCGGGGTTAGGTCCCAGACTTGGAAGTCAAAT